ATTCTCCTTGTCAACATCTTAGGAAATGTATAGAAAACGGTATAGAGAATATGTGCATTGATATTAGGGTGCAGAGGGTTACGAATACCTTTAGCTAGAGAGGTGATTTAAAAAGAGACACTTCAAAAATATGACACCAAAGTAACAACAACCATAAATTATACAAGTCACACCACTGAGGAAAGGACATGATGTTAGTTTGGAGAATTTGGTATTGGATCGACTAATAATCTCCTGATTGTTACTTTTCTTTATTTTCATCACTTATCTGCTTGATACTGTACTGATATGGTAAGAAGAAATTCTGTCTTGATCACTTGCAAGAGCCAAGGAATTTAATGCCTACTGAAGCTAAATTAAGAATTTTTAAAGCTTTTATTTTACCCCAAGTTACATATTGTCATATAGTATGGCACCATTGTGGCTCATCAGACGAGAGAAAGCTAATGAAAGGCTGCAGGAGCATGCAGTGAGGGCTATTTACTGTGACAGGGCTAGCACTTATGAAGCACTTATCTAGATAAAGCAAGACTTCCAATGTTATGTAATCGCAGACTCCAGGACACGGCTATATTTATGTATAAAGTTATGACTAATTTAGTCCCACCATATATTTCTGAACTTTTTAGTTGCAGCATAAGTAGGTACAATCTTAGGAATGCAGACGATTTCTCCTTACCAAGATACAACACGGTTACATACGGAACACATAGCTTAAGGTACATGGGACCTTATATTTGGACGAAGCTCCACAAATCAATCAAAATGGCTGACTCTCTAACTGCATTTAAAAATCAAGTCAGAGCCCTTGACCTATCAAATGTTATATCGAGAAATAATTGTGAAAATTGTGAATTATGTAAAACTTAATTTTATCAATTTTATACTGTTTGTATATAGTTTTTCTTATTATTATTATTATAATTATTAGTTTAGTTTACGTAGTAGGTGTCCCCAATTAGTTTTTACTTGTAAAAACTAGAATGATTGACACATTAATAAAGTTATTCATTCATTCATTCATTCAAAGAGTTAGAAATTTAACAAAACCTCACACTGAAAAATCATGAAATGAACATTGAAGAGACCCACCTTCTTTGCCAGAGCACGTGCTACTGTTGTTCTATTTAAGAAAATAAAGAGGACATTCAATATGGTGTATTTTTAAAGCTTAAAAAGTAAACTGATGTAAACTATCACCCCAGAGCTATGATAAGGATCACAAAGTAGTCAGAGGAAATATCACTGACAGTAACCATAATAACAATAATGATTAAAATATTAATTCATAATTAATAATAATGATAATGGGAATTAAGCAGTGAACATTCAGCCAGGTGGCTCTTCTTGTCCGCTGTTTCCAGGTTGAATTGGAATTTGGAAAGTTGGTTTTTGTGGTGGAAGGAAAACTGGAGAACCTAGAGAAAAACCCTCTGAGGGAGGAGAAGAATCAACAACAAACTCAACCCACATGTGATGCCAGGTTAGGAAATCCAACCTGGGCCACCGCAGTGGGAGGCAAGTGCTATCTATCAGCAGTATGCCATTCCTGCTCCCCTGTGTCAACAGGGGAGCAGGAATTTTCAATTCTCTGTCAAAATCAACAGAGAATTACAAAATAAGAGCTTGTCTCAACTAACAGTGTTGTGGCAGGGGAGAAACCAGAAAAACCTTAAAGATTTTTTTTTTTTGGAGTGCATATTTTTTTTTTTTGGAGTGCATATCAAAAGCACCAACCATAATTGTGACAACACTGTTGTTTTGAAATGTTAAAGACAAAAAAAATGGTTTATTGTGACCTTTGGTTTGTCCAGACATAGAATAAAAGAGAATTACAGATTAACTTGAAGACATGAATTTTATGATCTCTTGGCCAGAAAAACATCTGATTTGTTTGCTTATAAACTCGCTCATTAGATCTTGTTTCTGCCACTTGTACATAAAATACATATCTTTGCGCCATTGTGTAATATCCTCTATTTATGAGCTGTAACAAAATGCCATGCAGTAAAATTATCTTCAATGTTTTCTGTGTAGGTAAGATTTTGTATAAATTATTAGGACAAAGAAATTCACAGCAAGTAATCAATTTCCATCCACATCCATCCCTTAAAAAAAAAACAAAAAAAAACATAAAACTGGCTAAAACTTACTTTCCACTTCCACACACTCCTGTTATCAATACAACAACCATAATGACGAGAGAAGTCTGTATCTAAATCGCAGGCTGATATGTATGCTGAGTCAAACCTTTGAAAAATAAAAATGCAGATATTTTTTAACTCTTTAATTTAGAGTATTTTCTCAACTCCTGCTAAAAAAACTCAAGTAAAGGATGTATTTCCAATTATTGATATTTTTGCACAGCTTAAGTGTCTATTTCACAGCGTTTTTTTTTTTTATAATTATGCAAAATTACTTACTGATTTAAGACTGATGTGAAAAGTGATCTATAATAAATACAATAAATGCTCTGGGTTGATTGATAAAAATAATGAAAATTACCTATTAAAGACATCTAAACCGACAAAAAAAAGTGACAAACCTTGAAAAGATCTTTGTGGATCTTGTAAGATAGAAACAAGACAACTTAATTGTCTGCATCTGATTAAAAAAGACCATTAAACTCCTCATATTTGAAATTCAAAAAAGATGCATTATACAGCTCAAACTTCCTTCCTACATAAAGAAATAGTGTTTTGTCTGCACTATATGTGGTGAGACATCAAAAGATACAGAAAAATGATTCATAAAAACACCTGTGGACCATTCCATTTTAGAGTATAAATGTCAAAATTTCAAATATATTTTTTTACACCCAGACATGGTATTTGGAAAGAGGATACCCCAAAGTGTTCAGGAAATAATTAGTCAAAAGTTTGTTTTGTGGTAAACGGAAAAGAGAGGTCATTGATTTTTGACCAATGAGAAGCTTGCTTAAAATAGCTATCAAGCTGTAATATTTCAAATTATTATACCAGAGCACCTTAATTTCAAAAATCTCATCAAGTTAAAGAAAACTGACTCAACACAAGACAAAATTAAATCTTTAGATAGGTTTTGGGCTATCTTGAATGTTATTGCTGTTCAATTAGATTGAAAAACATTTCCGTTACAGACATTCCGTAATGTCCACAACAAAAACAGACCTTTTTTCTTTTTTCTCTGCAATTAAAATCCAGATCTTTTCATGAGCTTGAATCCTTTTTTAGTTTGAAGGGGCCCAAACTATGGTATCAAGAATTTGCAACAGCATTGTGAATCACTGGAGAAAAAGGAACAAGTTACGGACATTAAGTTATGGACATTACATTACGGACATTAAGTTACAGACATTACGTTACAGACATTACATTATGAATATAATAATTATTCTGCCTAAAATCAAACAAAGTAGAGTAGCTTTGCATTCAGAATGAAGTTGCTGAGCACTGTGTGATGGGACACAATGAAGTTTACCGACACACTGAAGTTTACTGACATTCGAACTGGAATACTTTAACCCTCTATTATAAACTTCTATTAATTAAACTACTCCATAGCGTGTTTATAGGTGAAGCACCTACGGCTCTGTCATACTCAACAAACAAATAATGCACCACATACAATTTTCGAAGGAGTAATTATAATATAATTGTCCCGTGTTTTAACTCGCCCTTTCTTAAAAACTCCATTAGCTATAGAGGCACTATACTCTGGAACGCTGTCTCGAAACATTTCACAGACCGGTTTTCAGTTTTTTATCGCAAAGTGAAGAAGGACTCTTATTTTAAGGATCTCGATTTTAGTGCACAGTCAGTCCAGTCACTACCCAGGCACTACCAAGACTTTAAATGCTTTTAACTATTTTTATGTTTTAAATGCTGTAGTCAATTTACTTAAAGATAAATAATGTAAATCATTTTTATTATTCTTACTGTATATTTTGTAGATTGATTTTAAGAGACACTATTCTTATAATTGTTATTGTAATCATATTCACACAACCCCACAAGCCCCCAGCTTTAAACCACATTGTGTTTAAATAAAGGATATGATTGATTGATTGATGGAGGCAACTAATTTCCAACATTATTTCTCACAAAAGGGGATTGGAGGAGAAAATAAATCTGTACAATTGTAATATCATTACTAAACTGTAAATAGTCAAATATTTTTTTTTAATTCCTTAAGCAAAAATGTTAAGTATAAGGAACTTGCCTGCAGGTACAAATTATCTGATCGAAAAGATAATATAGAGGATAAAGAATAAAATAGAGTTTCCTCTAAATGCTTACAAGAACAACATGTTAGAGCAATAGTAACAAAGCCAGCTCAGTTGTTTTGACAGTAACACTGCATGTGTACTCTACATGTGAAAGTGACCATACTCTGGCTCTTAGAGAAAAGGCACCTTGCAAATAGGCAAGTGTATACTCCACAGTCAGAGAGATTGGCCTGTTGGGAGCATCTTGTTTCCTATTTGAGAAGAAGCTCCACACACTCAGATCAAACACTCTCACCCAGCTCAACCAAGAATGAACCCATCTTAAGAAGTGCATCATGGATAGTAGGTTTAACAAAATCTCCCGCTTTGCTGTCAAGAGTTACCATTTGCTTCTTCTTTGGCATCACTACCAAGGCAAACCAGTGCTCACTCTGAAATGAATTGCATGGGACATTGACAATATCTTGGTGCCACAATGAACCTCCTTCCTTCCAAATTTCTCTTGCTAGCACAATGCCAACAGCTCTTTCAAACCTCTCCCAGGCAATGGTCTTGATTTTGAAATCATCCTTGGAGTATGCATTTCTCATAATTTCAAGGTAGTGATCAATGACAAAGTTAGAGAGCCAGTTATCTCTTTCGACTACGCTTGTACCCAACAGGGCCTTGAGGTCAGTGTCACTTATAATGCTCTGACCACCTCCTGGTTAGCTCAGTTGGTTAGAGCGCTGGATTGTGTTGTGCGGGAGGTCAAGGGTTTGAGCCCCAGCTCGACCAATACTCATGGTCTTAAAATAACTGAGGAGAATTTTCTACCTTTCTATAATATCAAGAAATGGAGATATTCTAGTCTTCTCCGATAAGCATGAATAAGCCATAGGCCCCATCTCCTGCAGGTTTAGGGGTAGGAGACGTTAATTTCCCAAGCACGAGATTACTGTGTGAGGGATGTCCTCCCCTGGGGTGGGATGGGTGGGGTGAAAGGTGAGGTCATTACATGGACTGAAGTGGCTGCCAGAGGTGCCTGATAATGCTGAGGTCCAATCTCAACCTTAATAACATTGTAAACCTTAGCAATTCAGCCCATGCTGCCATTAAGGTATTGAGTAAACCATTCACTTAACTTAACTTCAAAGAAAGAACACCTTTTTCAATAGCATCTGCCTTGCATTGTAAGTGGTAGGGCAAAGAGAAGGGCTTTGAAACATCAAAAAGAAGTTGAACATCTTGTGGCAGACAATGCTGTACTTTTATTAATGCTGCACTTGAGGTATGGACACCTTGACCTCGCTTTACATTGTTTCCATCTGCACTCTCTCAATCACTGGTACTGTCATCTCCATTTTCAACTTCCTCTTCATCAGTGCCATCATCATCTTGATCTTCACATGTAGTTATCTGTTCATCACCACCGGTGGAAGTTGTAATTCTCATCTCCCTCATCAAGCTCACTCACACCAGTGGTTGTTGCATTATCACTCTCCTCTGAGTCAGGATCACTTTTCTTGTGTTGATCTCCAAGCTCAACATAATCTGGTTGAGATGAATAGATGCGGAATCTGATCTGTCCATTCTCTTGTGGTTCAATGCAGTGATATTTTGATATGCCAGGGATGGCTGGTGCTTCTTGAAAGCAAGAGCTAAGGTCTAGCAGATCTGGAGACTTGTCTAGCTCCTCAGAACTGATGAAACTGACTTTAACTGCTTTACACAATGCAGATGCAACCTTAGCAAAAGATACAGCATCAGCAACAACTGGCACCCTCCTAGAGGATACTGCTCTCCACGCAACCCTCTTTACTGTCCCTCCAATACCATCAACAACCCCCTTCCCATGTGATGTAGCAAAAAAGTGCCATGTGAAATTCATGTCCACTGATCTAAGCTTGAGGTAGAAATTCACCATATATCTGTTCTTAAACTAAGAGCTGGGCCCATCTGAGAACACATGAACATGCTTAAGCTTAGGAACCTGGTCTGAAACAAGCATTTGAAGCACCCTATCCATGAAGACAGCAACAGCTTTCTTGTCATGATTTTTGTCATCAGTTATGAACACTTGGGAGCTGTAGGTCTTCTGGCTTTGATCATCATTGATAGTCCAAATGACAACAGGGAAAATGGTTACTTGTTCCTGGTTCCAGTGCGCTGTCTGAACTTCATCCTGCTGTTGGCATGTATAATTTTCTGAGAAGTCAACTTGCACTCTGCTTCATCTGCCTGAAGGTGCTCAATTTTGCTCTCAAAGTAATGTTAGTAATTATTGCCTCTTGATATAAACATGCTTTACAAAATTTGGCAGCTTCTCCATTTTCTAAGCACAGCTAATGCATCATTTGCTGTTCCTTCTTTGCAAACCTTTTCCATCCTTTTGACCACTGAATAGCTCTCTTTTCCATCCATCTTCTGCACAACTCTCTCCCACTGATACCAAGTTACCATCAAATTCAAATCTTCCTCGATCAGACACAGTCTCAAGCCACTGTGGGCATTTGTCACACTGCCCAAGCATACAAACCTTGGAATCAGGGCTGCATGCACACAAAACAATCAACAAACTGACCCAAATAGCTTGGGAAATCAGGGATGCTGTTAGATAAGCAGTCACACAACAAGCGAATGTTCTCATGATATGAACACAGGCATGCTTGGTGTGGGTATTTTCCTAATAGCAGGACATTTTGGGGGCGCAAAGTGCAAAACTTACTTAACCCAATCTTAACCAAGGAGTGCTCTTTCTTAAAGAGGGCATATGTTTCTTCTAATGACCACAACAAGTGCCTTTTCTGCATTTGCTGTTTCTTGCCATTGACTCTTACTGTCACAAAGTCCTGTTTTCCTGGTGCTTGTCGAGAGACTGAATCCAAAAGAAAAAAGCTTTCAACTAGTTTAACTGTTTCAGCGGGAATACAGTTTGGACTTCTTTCAACGGGCATTTTTTTCGCTGCTAACTTCATGACGACAGCTTTCCTCTTCCATGGACTGTGTTGGAGCACTGGTTTTACCCTACTGATCGCTTTTCCAAGTGCTTGAGGAGTCTTGTACACAGGTTCTGCAATCCCACACTTTCTACTTTTTTCAACTTCTTTCTTCTTTCTAGCCCTGAATCTTCTTACTCTCTGTCTGTTTAGTTTTCTCTTTCTGTCAGCATTAGCACCTGCAGTCTTTTTCTCTTTCTTTCTCACTTTTTGTTTCCTTTTTCTCTCCTTCTGCTTGTAAGCTTCATACTTCACAGGATTAGCTTTTAGCCTCTTCCTAAAATCTGATACTCCTTCTTTAAGAGACTTTGCCACAATAATATTATGGCAAAAGGCTGATAGTTTCTAAAGAAACTGTCTGGGGCTGTGTCGGTGGGGGTAACGAAATAATTTGAATAATATCAACAAAGTTGAAATGGTAAATTGGCCACCTGCACCATTACGATTATAAAAGCTGATGTTTTGAGCGTTAGCCCTTCGTTGGGGTGAATAGGGGAATTGTGGGTTGTGTGTGCTTTTAAAGGCAGAAAAAGGAGCTACGTGATTGGTGGGAACATGGCAACGAGAAAAACACGAATAAATTATGGCAGTGTATCATGGACCAGGAATTAAGAGACGGCAGAGACACTAGTCTGAGTATGCTCAATAAAAATGAATTGTACTGAGCATGCTCAATATGGGATAATCCACAGACCACTGTAATTTTTGCACCCAGAAGTGTATAGTTCAAATTTTAGTGATCAGTACAAATAAAAGAGAGAACTAACTTGGAATTAAACCTGATTTCGATCAATTTAACAGTTTTGACATTGTTATTTGATAGAATTTCATAGAAAAAGGCTAAATTTAATTTGCCTTTAACTTTATCTGTGTAAAACACACTTTCACAGTGTAATGTCCTTAACAAAAAACATGTAATGCCCGTAATGGCAGTTTTTTGCCTCTAGCTCAAAATGTAAGAACAGAATATATAAGGGATACAACATTGTTTTAAAAAACTAAGAAGCAGCTTTGTTCTTTTCACTATTAAGGAAATTAAGTCTGGCATGTTAATTCACATGAATAGTAGTATCTAGTGAACATGAAGAATCAAAGGTTGATTTTTTTTGTAATGGCTGTAACACTGTTTAACTGACGAGCATATTGGCAGCATTTGTAAAGGAAATCAAAGTTTCTTGTCTACTGCTAGTTAAGGACCCTGTGAGGGAAATTTGTACAAATTAAAAACTATAAAAGATAAGTTTGTAAAAAATAGTTTTATTTCCAAAATTTGCACTCCGGATGTAATGTCTGTAACGTGGTAATGGCCCCTGTCAGCTGGGCACCTGGGGAGACACCTGGGATAATGGAACCACTAGCACAAAACTAAATAGAATTTTTCAATTTTCTTAAAAAAAAAAAATAATAAATATGATGCATGACAGCAAATTCCTCTCTTTTCCAAGCCTTAAATAATAAGATGCTTCTTATTAACAAAGTAGGATTTTGTGTTTCCTTTCATGCAGCTGTTTGACGAAAGTTGTAAGAAAGAAGAATAAAAGAGCATGGAACAACCCTGAAAGGTATAATTGCAAGTTTTCAGGTCATGGATCCTTAATTTAAGGATTTGCGAGGAAACCTGAAAATTCACAATCTACAAAAACAAATTTCTAAGATTGGGTGTAACATGAAGTACAAGGGATAGCATGGAAGAGGACTAACATCACATAAAAGTAGATTGCACCCTGATGCTAGTTAGGTAACTCTACAATCTGTCAAATTCATTAGTAAGATCAGGCATATGATGAAGCACCAGGGGTAACCTGAAAGAAGACTAACAACACAGTACATACAGGAGGAGCATTTATATCCCTGGTTGCTCTCTGCTAATTAAAGGAATGCCAGAGGGGAGATGAAAGGTCTAGTTTTCTGGACCTGTTGGCTATTATATTATGCATGACTACAAATTAAAGCCACAAGAGCTAAACAAGAAAAAAAAAGTAATCAGGTAAAAAAAAGCTATATATAGTAATTTCAGCGAAGAGAGATAATTTTTAACCCCTTCTAGAGAAAGATCATTAAAAAACAAACAAAACCAAAATTAAAGTTAAACCTCCAACCACTTCACTATTTCTGCGGGGCACTGTATATACAAAATTTTGGGGTATGTTGTCAGAAACTGCAACAAATGAGCCGCTTCCAAAGGAAAATTCAGTTTTTTTTTTTCACCAAATTCAAACCAAAAAGGCCCAATTTGATGTAGAACCAAAGACAACTGCATTTGCCACATGGTATTGTAACCACCTTTAAAAAGTCGTCAAGAATTCAAAGTGTTTATGTCGACATGTACAGTGGGTTAACACAACTCAATGTTATACCCACAGGCATTTTTAAAGAGAAGCTGAGATTTGCCGTGTAAAAAGCAACTAATACAGGCTGGTCAAGATAGAATAACACTTTGAAAAATTCCCAGAATGTCGGCTTTAAGATTGAACCTACATCTACAAGGAAAAAATATATTGAAAATGTTCTTCATAATACCGCAAACATGATCTTGTACTGACTTGGATTCGTTTCAATTCCCATCCACCAAAAGCGCAATCATTCTTTTGCAATCAAAATAATGATTCGAAGCAGAAATTTGACATTGTCACCACGTAGGATATTGCAATTTACTCGTAAATCGACACAATCTAACGAAAACTCCGAGATAAGTTACGAATCGATGAACAAAACAAGAACGTCAGGGTCGATATCGCTAGGGTGTACAATTTCTGGCACGTTTTGGCACCTCGCGAAAAATCAGTAAAATCATGAAAGGTGTCGAAGAAATAAAAAGATTTTTCTACCTGCCGGCATAAATTCGTTTCTAAAGTGAACCCAGAAAAGAACAACCAGTTGCTTTACAGTACCTTCTTGTTGTGATATCTTCACTTAATCGGTTTCCAATTCAAAAGAGCTTTACGCTGTAAAAGCATTCATGCATTCAACGCACACAGAAAGCAATACATATTTTTTCCGAGATAAGCTCTCTATCGATCATCTCTTTTAAAAATTTAAACATATCAAATTAAAGTATGAATTTACCTGCAAAGGAACTTGTCAACGGTAACCCAAAAACATGCTGTACCTCATCAATTCAATCTCCACACAGACCGTGATGCGTACCGCATACACGACATTAATAGGTCCATAAAGAAACCAAAAGAATCCGGCTTAACTCCAATTGGATGGTAAAAATAGCAGTATTTAACTTCACAGACCTACAAATCCGCGATATCAAAATATGGGACACTCTTGCGTCTTATGTGGGACACTCTTCCATCTACAACATTAAATGAGTGAAATTTAAAACAAATAATGGCAAGATTCTTCGATTCGGGTTCCTCTCTCTCGTTCGACCCCAGGACTTTCTGTGAGCGCGCGTCCACAACAACGAGAAAATGTCATTCATGGCCCCCTTTCCTACTTTCTTATCAAACCTTAAACGTTTCTACAGACAGCCTATGCCTAAAAATACAAGAACTAACAATATTATGAAGATTTTTCCTAACTGACAGTGGAGTAAGGTGCTGTTATGTGATATAGAAAAAGAAGGTTGTTAAATTGGGAGTGGGATCACCGGAAGTTTTACGTAGTTTGTTATTACACTTATTCCTAAGCCATTCTCAAGGAAAAAGTCAGGCCGATTTCCAAATATTGATGGTCATAAATTTCAAGGGAAAAAATTAATCGTTTTTCTTTTTATAGTTTCCTTTGACATTCTGGGCAGGGCATTCAATAATTCTAATCCAGGTATAAATATCACTGCGTAAAAACGAAGTCAAATATCGCAGATATAAGCTTCCGGTGTGCAGACATTCAATCTCATTGACCGCATTGTCATCAAAAATGTGATCTTCTCAAAGGAAAGGAAAGGCTCTAATATTGAAATCTGACGAGTAAGTTTTCCCGAGTTAGCAAGTCTTAAAGTCAATTCGCCACCACAACAAACTCTCAAAGAAAAGAGGCCAAGTTCGTTTCGGTAAACTTCGCTGCATTTGAACGGGCTTTTTTTAAGGTCGCAGTATACTACTACTTCTTAGCCTTCATTTCATGAAATCATATGATTTCATATTAAACATCGGAGAAAATCACTTGGCGAAAATCACTGGGCTAATATCACTAGGCGAAAATCACTGGGCAAAAATCACATGGCCAAAATCACTGGGCGAAAATCACCGGGCTAAAATCACTGGGCGAAAATCACTGGGCGAAAATCACTGGGCGAAAATCACTAGGCGAAAATCACTGGGCGAAAATCACTGATCAACATCCACGTGATAACGTTACCGTTTCATAATTGAGATGTTACACGTAGCTTCCGAGTATCTTTCCCTTTTCGCAGTATACTACTTCATCTTAGCTTTCACTTTATGTAAGTTTCATTCGACAGGCTAGCCTACACATAACGTCAGGGTCAAATCGCCACCGGTGGCGATTTGACTCTCAGTGGTGGCGAGGTTTTTGTGGTGGCGAATTGACCGAACACCATAAGCAATATAACCCCTTTTCAGAAATGTTTGCGAGGGGGATGGGTAGGGGAGATGAGGAACGGTAGGGAGAGTGACGTTTACTTGGGCAGAAAGGCCTCATTTGCGTGGCTACCAAGAGGGTCTCAATGGGGTGCTGGCT